GTCACTGTAATTCTTCTATTCTTACAGCAACTTTTTCTTGTTAATTATTTTCTGAGTCAATTCATGGCTAGGACTGTGCTTTAAAGTACCTTCCCAATAAAAATGTGTTTTTTTATTTTTTATTTTTAAAGAGTTTGGTTTTTTTCTGATTTTATTTTATTTTATTTTTATTTTTTTTTAATTTTATTGCTTAAAGTATTACAAAGGGTATTACATATGTGTCCATTCCCCCCCCCCCACCCTAGACAGTCCCCTAGCCTCCCCTATCCCCCAGTGTCTTATGTCCATTGGTTATGCTTATATGCATGCATACAAGTCCTTTGGTTGATCTCTTACCCCCCTACCTCCTGCCCCCCAACCCTCCCCGGGCCTTCCCGCTGCAGTTTGACAATCTGTTTGAGGCAGCTCTGCCTCTGTATCTATTATTGTTCAAAAGTTTATAATGGTCTCTATTATCCATGAATGAGTGAGATCATGTATTTTTCCTTCATTGACTGGCTTATTTCACTTAGCATAATGCTCTCCAGTTCCATCCATGCTGTTGCAAATGGTAAGAGTTCCTTCCTTTTTAGAGCAGCATAGTATTCCATCGTGTAGATGTACCACAGTTTTCTAATCCATTCATCTACTGATGGGCACTTAGGCTGTTTCCAGATCTTAGCTATGGTGAATTGTGCTGCTATGAACATAGAGGTGCATATATCCTTTCTGATTGGTGTAAGAGTTATTTTTTTTTTAAAGAGGTTTTTATTTTATTTATTTTTAGAGGAGAGGGGGAGAGAGATAGATGAGAGAGAGAGAGAGAGAGAGAGAGAGAGAGAGAGAGAGAGAGAGAGAGAGAGAGATGAGAGCAAAACCTCGGTTGGCTGCCTCTTACACCAGCCCCCACGGGGGATTGAACCCACAACCCGGGCATGTGCCCTGACCAGAATTGAACCCATGACCTTTAGGTGCACTGGACAATGCCCAAAAGTGGTTTTCTTATTTTTGAAGTTGTGAGATGCTGTGATTGCAATATCAACGGATAAACATAGCTAGGAACTATAGCAACAACTCTTCATGCCTGACCCACTTAAGTAGATGAGTCTGTAGTAGAATGAAGGAAAAGGTGCTGTGAAAACAGTGCAAATAATATGAATCAAAAACATCTTTACTTTTGTAATCTGTAGTTGGTACTATTACTCTTACCTCTCTGGTCTTATCTGCTATAAAATAAGTATTCTAATGAATACCAGCCCTCACTTCCACTACCAGCTGACTTATGAATAGATCATTCAGGTCCTGTGATTGCCATTTTATTAAATCTTCTCCCTTAAGGAAGTGATATTTCTTGTATTGTAATGCCCTTCAACTCTTCCAAATGTTTAATAAAGGAACTGCAAAAACACAGGACTTTATTCTGATATAAAAAGTGTTAATGATTCCATATTGGGCACCAATTTAGAGAAAAGATTTTCCATTTTGAATATAATGAACAACATAAACTGATGAACAAAAATAGAGCCAGAGACATAGAAGCATCAAACAGACCGTCCAGCCTAAGAGGGAAGGTGGGGAGGAGATCAACCAAAGGACTTGTATGCATGCATATAAGCATAACCAATGGACACAGACAGTAGTGGGGTGAGGGCATGTGCTGGGGGTTGGGAGTGGCCAGGGAGAGGTCAATGGGGGGAAAAGGAGACTTATGTAATACTTTAAACAATAAAGAATTGAAATTATAAAAAAAGGATTTTCCATTTTAAAAGAGGATAAAAAAACCAAGCACTCATCTCATTGTAATACATTGTCTTTAGAAAAAATACTGTATTACCTGGTTAGGTAGTTTTTGTTGTTACTGTTTTTTAATGTTTGGGTCAACCGTTTATAGCATTGGCAAGTCCAATTTTCTAAAATTGTGAATATAACTATATTTATTTTATGATTTTTTTCCTGTTACTTTTAGTACTTTTACAAAAACACAAAACTCTAAAAGTTGGCCATTCTTTATAATAGGAAAAATGAAATATAAATAATTGGCATTTGTATATCTGTGTTAGAGATAATAATGATGATGACAATAGCAGTTGGTTGATGTTACGTTCCATGTATTTTACTAAGTTTATTTGCGCCTCATAGCAATTTCATGAGATGAGTACTATTATTACCTCTGTTTTACTGAGGAGATAAAAGTACTATTATTATCCTCATATTACTGATAAAATTAATGCTCAGAGAAGTTAAATAATTTGCCCAAAAGAGAAAGTGGTAGAGCCAGAACTTAAACCCGAGTCTGTCCAATTCCAAAATTTGTGCTCATAATCTTTACGTTATAGATAAAACAGAAGAACAAAATGTCTGCCCTAAATGTATGAAGAGAATCATATTTCCAAACAAAATATTGGATCCCACAGTCTAGCAAAAAAACTTTATTTTAAAATTTTATTTACACAAAATCTTATGAAGCCATAAACATCAACTAGACATTTAGCCGAACATTAAACAACTTTTTGTATAAATTTGAAATTGGAAGCATAATGGAGAATATAATCTATATCTATAGGTATGATTAAGTAAAGTGATCAGCCTTAAATTGTGCCCGTAAAATGAATTTTAAGTGGAAAAAAAAAGACCCTTTAATAATTTGTGAGTAGGTTTACATCCTCTAGTATTCTGAGAAATCAAGCTATTAAATTGCAGCTCTCAGGTTATAAAGGCAAAATACACAACCTCGTATCAGTTGAATGTGGTTCATCCACCTTCTTGTCCTAAAATATTTGTGGGAGGTGGTGTGTGTGTGTGTGTGTGTGTGTGTGTGTGTGTTCACAGCAGGAGGACAAATTTATCTTAGAATTGTAATGGTTCCCAGATATTTGTTTTTCAAAAATAAATAAAGAAAAAAAAGTTTTGAATGTGGTGATAGCCAGGTATTTATTGGTCTCTAAAACAAGAATGATGTCATTTCACTTGGAGTTTATTGACACAAAACTTCCTTTTGGCTGAGAAAATTTTCAGCACTGTGAGTATGGCTTTAATTAAGAGAGAGACTGATCACTGTTGATTTTGTTACAAGGGAGGAACGTCTTTGTGCATTGTGTGGATTGTTTTGTGCATGGATCACAATGAAAATGTAGAAAGGACTACTGGCAATGTGTTGATTTGTGTCTACTGTACTTTATATCCATTTCTGGATGCCACTGAACATCATTGTTTAGAAAGTTCTTTTTTTAAAAATATATTTTATTGATTTTTTACAGAGAGGAAGGGAGAGGGATAGAGAGTTAGAAACATCGATGAGAGAGAAACATCAATCAGCTGCCTCCTGCACACTCCCTACTGGGGATGTGCCCGCAACCAAGGTACATGCCCTTGGCCGGAATCGAACCCAGGACCCTTCAGTCCGCAGGCTGACGCTCTATCCACTGAGCCAAACCAGCCAGGGCTAGAAAGTTCTTTAGGCTTATGATATTTTGAAATATAAAAGTATTGGATTCACCTTTTTTTTTTTTTAAGAAGGCCATGCAGTGGTAACTGACATTAAAAATGAGTATTCTAATTTTACCTCTGAGAACAAAATTCTATTTATTTTTAAATCCTCACCCAGGGATATGTTTATTGATTTGAGAGAGGATGAGAAAGGGGTGGAGCTGGGGGCAGAGAAACATCCTTTGGTGGCCTCCCTTACATGCCCCTCACCAGGGACTAAACCCAAGAAACCCACTCCCCACAGCCTTTTGGTGCAGGGACAACGCTCCAACTGAGCCACCTCGGCCAGGGCTGTCGTGCAAAATATTTAAATGTCATTTTAAAGTACAAGAAAGTGTTCCCTGAATTTAGGAAAGCCACAATAAATCACAGTTCCTCTAATTACCTTTGGAAGTTCGCTTATTCACAGATTTGTGGCAAATCCTCTAGAGCAGCGGTTCTCAACCGGTGGGTCGCGACCTCTTTGGCGGTCGAACGACCCTTTCACAGGGGTCGCCTAAGACCATCCTGCATATCAGATATTTACATTACGATCCATAACAGTAGCAACATTACAGTTATGAAGTAGCAATGAAAATAATTTTATGGTTCGGTCACAACATGAGGAACTGTATTTAAATGGCCAGAAGGTTGAGAACCACTGCTCTAGAGCCATATAATCTGAAGTATAGATCATGGCCTCAAAATCTGAAGCATGATATGTACATAGGAATCTTTAAATAGTTGTCTATCTTCAAGTGATATCTGATAAAACTTGAATTGCATTAGGGTTGTGAGGCAAAAACCCCCTCTACGTCAAAATCGTAACCACTTTACTCCACATCCATCGAGTCATGTAATTCTTAGTTCTCCATTCACCTCTTTATGGTACCTGGAAAAAAGAAAAAAGAGGAGATAAATAAGTGGGTCTAAACTTGAATAAGGAGGTGTAATGTGTGCCCTCACCTGGCTTGGAGATGAATGGGAGTGAAAAAAAAAGTAGTAGATAAAAAGGACATGTTGAAAGGACAGGTCTCTGTACACAGGATCTGCCAATTTGTGGCCAAAACTTTGTTGACGATAAAGTAGAAAACTTCAAATAATGCTAAATGAAGCATAGCCTGGCTACATTATTTGGATACTTAAGTGACTTCTCGGAGCTCCCAGCGTGCACCAAGCCACAGGCCCAGCCCAGGCCATTCCTGGGGGTCCGGCGGTCCTGCTCCCCGCCCACACCGGGGTCATCCTCGCCGGCCCCGGCCCCGGCCCCGTGGCCCCTGCGGTCCCCGAGCCCCAGGGTCACGGTTAGCTGAGCAGCGGGAAACCCCTGAGAGTCCGAGCCTCCAGACGGGACCCACCGGCGTCCCCTGAACTTGGCGCACGCGGAGGTCCGGGGGGAAGAGGAGCAGCGCCGGGTTCCGCGGGGGCGCGGCGGCCTGAGCGGGGGCCACCCACCCTGCGGCTCGGCCCGGCGCCCTGCGCGCGGAGCGGGCGCCTTCCCGGCGCGCGGCCGGCCGCCCACTCGGCGCTCCCCGGCCGCCCCGCGCGCTCCGCGGGAGGAGCCGCCGGCCGCCGTGACGCGTCAGGGAGGAAACGCGGCGCCCGGCGGCCCAGCGGGGAAGGAGGAAGCGCGAGTGCGCACGGCTCCGCGCCCGCCGCGCCGCGAGGCAGCACCGCGGGGCCGGGTAAGTGCGGGGTCGGCGGGACCCGCTCGGAGCGCTGAGCGGCGGCTGGGTCCGCGCGCGTCCGGCGCAGCCGCAGGCCCCCGGGCGGGAGAGGCGGGGCGGGGCGAGGGGTGCCCGGGCCTCGGAGCGAACGCGCCTCTCCCGGGTCCCCTGGCAGTTCCCCCCGCCCTCGCCCGCCATCCCCCGAGTTGGTCGGGAGGGAAAAGTCCTCTCGCCCAGCCCCGACTCGGAGAGGTGGTGCGCCCCGTCCCCTCGGGGTGGATGCCGGCTGCGCTGCTGATTCCTGCCCTCCCGGTGGGGTCGGGAGACGGACAGGGTGCATTAACCCGTGCGCTGCTCGGAGCGCGGAGGTGCGGGCCCGCAGGCTGGGGGACCCCACTGAGGCGGGAACTGGATGCGGGACACCTGCGAGGATGGGACCTCGAGGGTGAGGGCACGGGAATCCCTACCCTGTGGTCAGTGGACCTGTGTCTGACACTTCGGCGCGTCATTACCCTTTATGTTTTCTATGACTTGAACCCTTTCCCTCTCTTGTCAAGTGAACTTGACTCTATAGATGCCCATAGTTTGCACATCGATCTGTACCATCCAGAAGTGCTTTGAGATTTTTAGATTTGGTTGTTTCGTGGTGGTTAGTTGGAAAGTGAAACAATTCGTCTCTGAAGACTTAAACTCTCCTTATTGACTTTTGCACAGTGATTTTGGGACCAGGAGTAGAACTTGCACAATTGATGGTATAGGGTACACTTGAGATGCAGGTAAAAACAGAGGGAACTACAGTTTCTAAATCTTTCTCAGGGTAAAAAGTATGAGACTGCTGTACTTTGTATTAGGTTGAGGAGTCACCCAGCCAATCTGAAAAGTGCCTTTCTTATTTAGCAAACACTTTGATAGCTCTTACTATGTGTTGGGCTCTTTCTAAGTGTTTTATAAGTATTAACCCAAATTGTTAACTCAAAATATCCAATTATAGTGGTTCTAAGCAGTGAAGAGGTTGTTCATACTTCAGTTCCCCAATGTCACTGCAAGAGCTGGAAACATGAGAGAAAGTTTCAGGCTTTTTTTTTTTTTTTGGACTGTGTGTACCTTCTGGACCCCTTGGTTACCATTCCTGTAAGACAAGCCACCACGCCTCCACTTCAGGGGAAGGGAGTCTGGAACTACCCCTCTTCTGGACCTCTTCCTTGCAGATCTCAGCCACCCAGATCCCTAGGATCGGCTCCAAGATGGCCTTTCTTATTGGCCATCGTGCCCATGTTAGCTAACTCGGAGAGTCCAGAACTTCCCCCTTTCTTCAACTGCCACTCTTGGAGCCTGATTTTGTTTTTCAAAGGAGTTTTGCTCCCAATCTGTTTGAGAATTGATGTGACTGTAGCTTACATTTAAGATTGAAAGTGAAATGCAGTATAAAATAAAACCTTTAGAGATGTCCATTTTGTGGTTTGCAGACATATAGAGAAAATATTTTTCGGGAATAAAGCGCCCTCTTTAAAGACATGCCTTGGCCTGATGGTCAGATTAGTGAATAAAATAGACATAGTTCTTGTCATTATGGTGATTATGAGTCTTATGTTAAGATCTGTACGTCATACTATCGTTCTATATCTCTCTCTTTCATATATTTAAATTTCCAAGGTGATGATTAAATGAGACGCTGAGCCTTATTTAATAGGATTATGACGTGTCCTGGAAGCAGGAAGGTTCACTTTCCTTTGATAAAATTTATGGCGCAACAGACATTGGTGGATTTCAAGAATGCACTTCACCCAAATGACAACTGACACTTTCATGAGTTACAAGGTGCTTCCAGACATACTTACTTGCTCTTCAGAGAGACCTTGTGAGGTTGGTAGCCATTTTTATTCCAGAAACTGAGGCATGGAAATGTTAACAAGCTTTAGCCTGGATTGCACAGCTAGTAAGAGGCAGAGCTTGAATAGAGAGCAGATATGTGCACAGTGCCTGGCACATGCCAACCTGTAATAAACATTTGCAGAATGAATGACTCCAAATGACTTCATACTTATTGCTCTTTCAAAACATATGCCTCTCAAATACCATAATAAATTTGTGCCTAAAAGATTTCCAGGCCTAATCCAATGTATCTCTCTTATTTCAAACAGTATCTGTCTGATACACACGTTTTTTCCAAAAGGGATGAGAATGCTCTTTCTCATTTCTTAGGATTTATCATCTCTGGTTTTTTGTTTTGTTGTTGTTGTGTTGTTTTTTTGGGGGGAGGGGCAGGTGTGATATCATCTCTGGTTTTTGAAAAGCAAATAGGTTGGTTGTCCTTTCTCTCTCTCAAACATTCTTTTTCCCTCTGATTTGGAGAGTTTAGACTGGACACGTGGGTTTAGTGTTTGTGTGGACAGCTTTCTTATCTCTCCCTGCTCAACTAAGGTCATTTTTAAGGACAGCAATCACTATAGGTTTTCCATGTCAGTGAACTCAATTAAGCTACTTAGAAATATGATCAAGTTTAAACACAGTGATGCTAGGTATTGCAATTTTTCGAGGTATCTGACATTACTAATGCATTTCTCAAAATGTTGCAATTACTTTAGTATAGATCTGTCTTTCAAAAAAAAACAAACAAAAAAAAACCCCTCAACTATTTATATCCTTTAAGCATAACTGTCTGTACTCTAAAGTATGTGACTTCCAGATGGAAAAACCTTCCATTAGAGAGGAAAACATGGCCATTACCTGGTGGGAGAAATTGAGAAGGGAAAAATGGGGGGTGGAGTGGCCTTTCCCATGAAGGGGATTAGGTGGTAAGAAACCCTTAATGAAGCCACCCTGAGTCATCTGCCTGTCAGGCTCTTCTCAATGTTCGTTCCTCTGTGTGGGGGTGGAATAAAATACTTTTGAAACCTGTCTTGTTTCAGAAACCACGTTACCTTTTCCAATCTCATGTTTTCTCTCTCTCTCTTTTTAAATTCATGTAAATTACTGACTAAACTGCTGATTCATGAAACTCAAATTATGTAACATGTCGTTCCTGACAGAAACAGTTCAAGAATTATTTTAAGGGACTGTTTCCCTTTATCTGTTGCATTCTGTAAGGTGGCATCTTTGTTCTCATTTCACCTTTCCCCCCCTTCTATTTCATGGAGAAAAGTGGCAAATCTAAGAGGCGCCATTTCCACTCCTTGTGGTTTACGGCAAAGTCATTTTAACTCGGCACTAACTTGAGTTAGTTAATTGTCATTGCAGAGGAAAACAACATGGAAATCAGATGTTGAAGGCCGACTCAGAACAGTAAAATTTTACTGCTTGTTTGAAGCTGCGCCAGCGAGTTTGCAAAGAGAGCAGTGTACCATCTCCTTGCTCCTGTCCAACTTCTTCTGGCCTTTCCTGGTTGCCCCAGGTCTTGAAAACCTGCCTTAGTTTACCTTTTTGTAGCCACTATTATTCAGTGATGGGCGGGTGAACGAAGGGTGATTATGTGAGGGGAATTGTTGTAGGGTGAGAATCTGTAATATGTGAAATGGAGGGTGAAGTAAGGGTTGTGAATGAGAACTCACAGTGGAGGAGTCATGCAGATTGCTGCTTTGCCTCTCCTGAAGGGATCAGACAGACATAAGGGGAAGACATATATGGGATCAAAGGAAGATTGGGAAGGATTAGAAACATATGTCAGCATGTGATATTGGCAGGCAGAGTTCCTTTGTACCACCAAGTGCAGAAGTGTCATTATGGGTAGCTGTTTCTTCAGGCCACCAAATGCATTTGCAGGCAATTGAATTGTAGAGGGCTGGTTTCCAGGCTTTAAACTGGAAGTAAGAAGATTTCACAGGCTTTTGTTTGAGTAAAGGCCTGGATTTCATACCTTTTTAAAGCCTTACTCTTTTTTGAGTCTGCCTATAATATGGAGATAATGTCATTCTCTTCACTGTTTTTGCGATTTTAAATAACCGACATTATATTTACATGGCATGTAGTAATGAATAGCATTCAGGTTAATTGCTGTCTTTCGGGTTCCTGGTATATTTGCTATGCCAGTCAATACCAAACACTTTTCCTGTAGGTAAAATAGACTTCATGTATATTAACACACAAAATTGGACTCACTGATGGACTAGCCAGTCTATGGATGAAGCATCCTCAAGTACAGTGGGGCTTCACTAGGACTTGACTAATTGCTTGCTTGAGTTAAGTAATGAGAAGAAACTTTTAGTTATTGACCTCGCTGTTTTTAAAATAAAAATAGATTAAAGTTAGCTTAAAATGATATGGTTTCCAAATCAGCATCCACACATGCAGACGAACATATATATAGGATCTGTGGATAGATTATATAATCCAATGCACATATATTATATAAGTGATCAGCTAAAGGGAACTATAGGAATCATGTCCGCAGTTTCCCAGGAAAACACAGTGTGTATGTCACCTTTTTCCCTATTTTTATTTTAGTTTTGTTTCTTTTATTTTCTAAATATTTTTAATTACAAAGGCATGTATGCTCTTGCATTCAAGCAGTCGAGAAGCATGTGAAGTGAAAAGGAAAACTAAGTCTTCTCCATTTTAATCTTACCCATGAAGATAATCATTGCTAAGTATTTATATCTTTCCAGATTTTTCTCCATGCTTATATAAACCTGTGTGTCTATAAATATATGCAGAAATATTTTTTGAAAATGAGAATCATTCTACACAATTTGTTCTTTTGTTTCTGTTTTTTGTTTTTTATCATGGACATCTATCAATCTACACCATTAGTTTTGTCAGCTGCATAGTATTCTACTTTATGGTTAATACATTATCCACCTTCTATTTCTAATTATTTATATGCTCACTCTTTTAAAATATGTTTAAATCACCAAAGTAATACATTTTTAAACAAAAAAAAAAAAAGAAGAAGAATCACCAGAGGGGCAGAGGCAGGCTAGAAGGGGTCAATGGGGGGAAAAGGGAGACATACAATTCTTTCTTTCTTTCTTTTTTTTTTTCCGATATATAATACTTTCAACAATAAAGACTGAAAAAAAAAA